CAGCGCCTGGAGATCATAGAGGTCACACCTGCTGGGGGCTTTGAGGTGGAAACAGTCTCTGGAAGTCCAGAGACGAGAGCAGGTGGACTCTGAGACGAAATGTGCGAGGGTCAGATATCCCATCAACCCACAGCTGAGGGGGAGTTGTGTGGTCCGCCTCACCCTCCCTCCCTGAGAGACCAGGACTGACACAACAACAACAACAACAATGCACAGTTTACTACTGCAGTCCGCAGGATTAAAGCAGTTAAAGCAGCCCACCTGACCGTGTGCTCCTCCTGGAGAAGCTTACGCATTACGCATGCATTCTCTACATGTGCTTGGTGATGCTATTCTGTTGCTCGACTAATCAATTTGCTAATTGTTTCAGCTCTAAATTGTTCAATTATATAAATTGATGGTTAAAGTAATTTATTAAGCAAATATGATAAACATTTGCTGACTTCAGCTTGTTAAAATGTGAGGACTTGCTTCACTCAGACTGGTTTCAGACTTGAGAAAACAAAAACTAATTAACGATGTTACAGTGGCCTGTTTCAAATAATGTTTTAAATCCAAGCTGACGCCTTCAAATGTCTTGTTTTCTCTGACCAACAGCCCAGAAAACTAAAAATATTCAGGTTACGGTGATATAAAAGAGAGAATATACATAGAAAATAACCAGCCCTAATGTGACTGATATGACCAGAACATGTAAGTTGATGAAAGCAAATCCATCCAGAAGACAAAAAAAACAACTCTTTATGAGATTTATAACTCAAAAACCTGATGTGTCCATCATGCAACATCTGCCACAAGGGAGCCCGGGATATGGGGGGTAACAGATGTTAGAAAGTGAACACTGGGTGAGAGAATAAAAAAAGAAAGAGGGCAGAGAGTGATCTACAGCAGAAACCGGAGTGAGGAAGAGAAGGCAGATGGTGAAGAGAGAGCAAGCACACATGCACATATTTACTCACAGATACACTCTAATCACCTTCCATACATTCACTGACTGTACAGAGGCGAGACTGCGTGACTGGAGGCTAAGTGACAGTTATTTGCTACCATGCGTGTCGGTCACATTCTGTGCAATCCTGGGATGTTGATGAATTATTAAATGCTATTAGACTAGTATTAGTGTGTGAGTGTGTGTGGGAATGTGTATGTTGGGGGGGGGGGGGGGGGGGGGGGGGGGGTTGGGGGGGGTGGGGAAGGGGGTGGGAGGATCTGTTTGACCCCGTTTCATAAAGCGCAGCAACGTTTCACAGTCGCGAGAATTGCGCAAAAGAGCGGCAGCAGTGATACTGATGCAGAGAACCACAGCATCAGAAACACACCCATTATGTTCCCCTGCACAGTGAGTGGAGAGATGGTGCTCCACTTTAACCTAATTAGCAGGGAGTGTCTCCTCCAGCGGAGAGCTTTCTCTACGCTCAGGACACATCGACAACTAAACAACTCAAACGAAGAGAAAGCTGCATGTAGGCCTACATCTTTTACTCAACTCAAGTGTTGTTTCCCACCGTTGCAACTAGTGATAGTTTTGGATTAATGTATGTGTTTTTAAAGATATCAGCCCCAAAGACAACTTTGATTGTGGGAAACAACGTGTTAAAAAATGACATAAAAACAACAACAAACAACGACTACAATTGCAGCACATTGTCAGGCTTCCCTTTGACACCGCTGTCTTCAACCTAATCACAGTCACCCATCAGCTCCAATGCGGACAGTTGCCAAGAGGACCAACAAGGTGCCTCTGTTCCAGCATGAGAAGAAACCCTGCAGGGAGACATTTACGCTCATTATAGGTTCGGAATTGGCTTTCACAGCAGATTTCTCAGAGTGTGATGGTTCAGGACTTCTCTTACACTGGTGCCTTCAGGATCATTTGATACATGTTGGATTTTTTACAACTTCAATCTTTAAATCGGGAGCTATTCAGTGAACTGAATTATAAATTTGGAAACTAAAATGAATGAACTGCAGACGGTGTTTGTTTTCCTTTCGTGCTGAAGAAGCGCAGCAGCATGAAGAACCGACAAATATGTTGCAGTTAAACGGTGCGATGTCTTTTCACAGTGCGTTCTCACATTCGGCCGAAAACATGGACACAGAGACAGACGACAGCTTCCTGCTACATCCTGCTGCTTCTGAGGGTCACAGTGGAGCAGCGGCTGGGTTTTTGTCACAGCTGTACTTTCTCTTGAGCAGATACATCTGTCTCCAGATGTGTGTGTATATATATATATACCATGAAGCCAATGACGACATCTGGCAAAGAGCTAACCCTGCTCCTCTTCCACTGTACCCCCCCCC